TAAAACTAGTTTCAATGTTCGCATAATTAAACTCCTAAATTATTTTTCTCTATTCTCTATTCCAAATGTATCAAACTTTCTTTCTTTAATATTTTTTTTTTTGTAAACAAAGAACGTTACTCAATGAAGTGTGACATATTCATTTAATTATTTTAATTTTGCTTATACTTGGAGATTTCACAAGTTTTAAATCGTTTTTGTAGACAAATATGTATATTAACTAGTTTCATTTCTTATGAATTTATGGTCCTGTCTTTCTAATTGGTTTATGAATGATGATTAACATTTTAATTAAGGTGGTTGTGTGTTGTTTAATTAATAGATTTGTGGTTCACTATTTTGTTAACTAATTTAAAATGTTGTCTTATACTTTTTTTTGAATAAATATTATATTATGGTTACATTAATAAGTAATTATTCGAGAATTTTATAGCTTACTAGAAACTTTGCTTGCACAGTCGTATTTTTTTTTTTTACAAAAAGGAACCGAGGACTCGGACCGAACCGGCCCGTTTCAAACGGAGCGGGTAAGGGTCGGTTCCTATTTCGAAAATTGGTATACCCGGACCGAACCTACCCGCTAAATGGAATCGACGGTTCTTGAAAATTTATCGATTACCCGAATCGACCCGGACCATGCCCACCACTACTACGAATGAATGAATGTCCCTGATGCGGCTGGGCTGCTTTTTCTCTACTTTTTGGGCTGTTGAGAAGGAACCAAAACCTGGTGTTGACTTGGTTTTTTATTGGGCTGCACTTAATAACGGCTAAAACAACCCCCATAGATCCAGCCCAAACATAATGTATTATTCACCGCATTGTCAGTCTATAACAATCACAACTCACTACACCCGCTAATCATATGCAATATTACAATTAAATTACTCCAAATATGTCAAATTGTGTCCAAACAAGCTATCCAAACCCGCTGCATTAAGGTATAAAGACGTTGGGCAGTTAATGCTGCAACATTTCAGTTCAACATGGAGCAAAAATTAAAATAGGAACGTACCGAAAGAACAAAAATTGTAATGAGCGTTTTGGACTATTTTTGGCTAAAATATGTTTTTGAATCAAATTACAATCATATGAACGTTTTGGACTGTTTTTGGCTAGAATCTTTGCCCAACGTTCACAGCATTGATTCCAACGTTCATATGCCTTAAATAGGCCATTAACACATGCAAATCCACCCCTATAAAAGGCTGACAGCTGCTTTGCAAAATAGACACAACACAAAAACGTACTACACTTCTTTTAAGCTCTAAAACACTCCAGCCTTCTCAGAAAATTCCTTCTGTGTTCTAAGCTTCGTTCACGTTCGTTGGAACTTTTATTTGAGTGCTAAACTATTGTTCGAAGTCATCGTATCCTGGAAAACGGTCATTGCAACGCTCCTAGCACCCCGGGAGGCAACACATACGTTTTAAGGAAATCGTGTGTAGCACGAGCTTTGACTTTTTCTGCTTCATCTATTTTCTGTTTTTTTTTCATTTTATTTAATTAATTTTTATTAATTAATTTTCTTTATTTTTCGAAACACACCCAACAATTCTTTCCAATAAAGATGGGGGAGATGGAAAATTACAAAAGAAAACAAAGATTAATTAATATGTTGCGTTGCTAAACCAGAAAAGAACTCGTACACTTCAAAATGTTGTTGGGCAGAATAACTTCATTACCAAATGTCATGTCCAAACTACAACCAAGCCTCCCCACACCTAGGGGTGACATCGCCCTCGAGGACAATTTAAAAATATTGCAACGTGTACTTTAAAATTTAAATTTTAATTCAGAGTAGTTTTTTTTTAAATACTGCCCCGTATAAAATAGCAAAATGTTTTATAGTGATAAATAACAACAATATTCACGGTGATTTTAAAAATTAGTAAAATAATCATATTTAAAATATTAGTACTAAATATAAATCAATTTATGTGTGTGTTCTCTCGTGAATGTGCATATATTAAAACTAATAGTTATAGTTGTTATATAAAATAAAATAAAATATACATTTAAAGCTTTTTTTCAAAAATTTATTAGAAAAATAAAAGAAATAAAATTAAGTTAAATATATACCTTTAAATTCATATCATTAATGGTCACTTTAGGTATTAATAGGTAATCACAAACAATTAAGTTACTAAATCATTTAGCCCTCTATTTATCATTGCAAATTAACAGTAGGACCAAAAGTGTCAATTTCACAACACTTAGGGGACTAAATGCAAAAAATTGCAAAATCAATGACTAAAAGTGTCTCACTTACAACAAAATCACCAATTTGCCGTCACCAATTTCCTATCACCCTAATAAAAATTTTCTTAATAACAAAATAATAGTTTAATTTATAATAAAAATATGAAAAATAATAAAATGCTTATAAAATAACAATTAAAACGTCAAAAATAAAATAATAAATATAAAATAATATAAAATAAAAGTAAAAAAAATTAAATAAAAAAAAGTTTTAAAAAATACCTAAGAATGTTATTCTATAAAAAAAAAATTAGGCCTCTGCCGCTTTATCTTCCACCTCCCAACACCGCTATGTTCGATCACCAGAAAATATCATCTTGAATAAAAATGTTAAATTTCTCTAAAAATGTCTCGAGAATGATATTTTTACTCATTGAAAATACTCTCTTCGTCACATAAAAGTTGCTCGAAGTATATTGCACGTGAAATAATAAAATAAAAACTGTGTGGTTGAGATTTGGGCATATGAAAGAGAACTAACTTTAACCATATACGATAGTATTTGTTTTTTAAGTAGAAGTGATAAAGTTTTTTTGAACCGCTAAAAAGAAAAATTTGACCATGTTTTATGGAATGGAGGTAGTATTAAATTTTGTTTTCAAAACTGTCATCACATTGACCTTTGCTCTTTTGGAGGTAAGCATTTTTTCTGATGACCAGGAGTGGCGTCTAGTGGTGCAGGAAGGTGGCTGGGGTGGTGGCAGAGACTTGTGGTTCAGACCCACAAGCCAGCATTGTGGCGACGAACGTCGCCGGTTCAGGCCCATAGACGTTTGATGACAATCCAATCCATATGACAAATCCCCTAAAGGCCAGGATACGAACGGCCCGATACCTTTAGCGATATCACTAGGAGCGGTCCACCTTTCCTTAGCTGGACGAACGTCTCCACCAGTTAGGCGGGAAATCCAGATTCTAGCGGGAAGCGCATTTAATGCTGAAGATTTGGTGGTTGGAGCAGCAGCCACACACAGTCCTCCACGTCAGCATAGTCAACTGCCCATTGGTAGTATAAATAACAACATTTATTTCATTGTAAAGGGTTGGCAACTTACTATTCTTAGCACTCTAGCTATATTCTCCTATTCGCAGCTCTTATACTGCCTTGTAGGACGAACGGCCGACGAGCCTTAAGCAAGCTTATTGTATTGGGGAGTTATTAGCTGATTAATAATACTTGATCTCTTACTTGCTATCTTTCCTGCCTCTTTACTTCATCTTACTTGTTAGTTGGGCTAGATTATCCGTATACACATACACCACATCATTCGAAATCCTTGGGCTTACGTGTTGGACCCGAGGGTTGAAGGACTAAACCTCAACAGATTTAATGATGTGTAATCCCCATGGACAATTACATATATATTGTCACTAGCATTTTTAGCAATGTCCAGCAGGCCGGGCAGTGGATCGGAGTAACGTTGATAAAAAAAATTGATATTTGTGTGTCAAATATTAATTTGTAATTACTATTTAACTTTTTATTTCATTATTACTAATTAATGTACTTTTCTTTTAAAATAAGCTAAAAAATAACAGGGATGAAACAAGAAGAAACAGAGTGAACATTATAATTATGACGGAGTTGTTTTTATTTGTTGTTAAGTTCTTTTTAATTATTAGAGCATCTCCATTCATGATCTCTAATAATCATTTTTTCTATCAGTCTTATCATTTAAATATTGTTATGTAATTAATTTAAAATAATCTCAAAATTCGTTTATGCCTCTCAATCATCATCTTCAAATACTATGATTTTTCTCTGTCCTGCATTAATCTCTATTACACATATTTTTCAAATAATTTTAGAATAATCTGAATTCATATTTTGATCCCAGATTATTGTAGCAAATAATCTCATTAAATAATCTATGTAACTCAATGATGATTTTCTAAAAAAAAACTGTCATGTCATCCACTTAATCTCATAATAATCTTACCAATGAGGATGATCTTAGGAGTTAATCTCTAATCTTTCCTACGTAGGACTAAACATTAAATTTTTACCTCAGATACCCTTAATCTAATTAATTAATTGTCCCCTAGTTTTCTTGGACAACAACAACAATCCATCGGTGGCAGGGCAGTCGGGTGGTAGCGGTGGCAACCGGTGGATGAATTGCGTCAAAAAAATCTGGAACTTTTTTAGCCTAGCCAGAGCTTCGGCGGCGGCGAACGTTGGCTGAAATCCGGCCAGAGGTCAAAGTCTGGCGATGGTAAGTGGCAGTGGCATATGGTGGCAGGGGCATTTTTGTCCAATCACAAAAAGCTCATATTTTCACAATTTTAAAACTACTACTATTTGTGAACACCTTCTTTATATGCATGTTTTACTAGCTCCTATTTATATAATTTACTCATTTATTTATTGTTAATTTAAATGAGGTAGCGTCGAGAGTCCCAAGGAGGAAAGAAATTGAGATAATAGCCTACTTAACGTGTTTACACATTCAAGACGCCGATCAAGAGTACCATCTACTAGCATGCAATTTGTACTGAATTACATGATTTCATGGCTTACAACTTGGTTAAAATAAAATACTTAAAGCATTTGCATTGACATTAAAATGCTGTTTTTTTTTAAAGGAAATGAATCAAAGAAAACAATGTTGATTGCAAAAGTTTTTGACCTTCAGAAGTACTCTTGGGTGTTCTATAGATAACGTTAATTAGTCATTGGTTACGAACTATATTTGTCAAGATCAGAAGAATGAAAAAAAAGTAATTCGTGTAATACACAACAATTGTAGATAATTGATAATTTTTTCTAAACGAGTTGTGTGTCTATACAAACAACTTTGATGTGTGTATGAAAAGTGTACAAAACTTTGTGTATGAATAGAGCTTTTGATGAAAAAATAAGTGAAAGAATATAAAATCAATCATTGGATTCACCCCACATTTGTTTGAGATACCTATCACACTTGGTGTCACCTTCCATCTTGATCAAGGGACCTTCTTCTACTTGTCGTGCCCATGCATTGTCACGTTTAAGGTTGTGCCGGTACTCAACTGCCACTTGCTCAAACACCTCAACTTCAAACATGTTAATACTCGGCTTCAGCTTCATCAAGTCTCTCACATAGGCAAACGCAAGTTGGTCCCTTGGATTGAAGGATTCTAGTTCATTGAATAAGAGGCATGAGAATAGATTTGATGCCTTACTATGCTTCCTTATTATCACTGCACTGTCTGGCACATCTACAAAAACCATAACAAATGTAACAATTAAATCCGCCAATTTAGAAATTTCATCAATTTGCTAATTTTTATGTATGTACCTATCTTGACATATACACACAAACAAGTTGTTTGTGTTATACATGTGCGTAAATATATGGGGACATGGCTGGTCGTTGATCTAGGGGTGTTTAGCATTGATTCTGCTTATGTTTTTTTTAAGAAGAAGCAGAATTAGAATTAGTTTTTGGAGAAGCTGGTCTCTCCCAACTTCTAAAAACTGATTGTACTAGCAATTTGGAGTACTTGCACTCAAATACTTCAATATCTGATTCTGCATTTTGAAGGAGTAAAAGCAATTTTCAAAGTAAATCCAAACCCCCTCTAGATATTTACAAAATCATGACGAAGTAAAAAATAAGACACTCATAGATAGGGAAGCTTTAATTTTAATCTATGGTTCTTTTATTAGGGCCACATAAGCCTAATTTAGAAAGAAAGCATATTTTGTCATAATTTTCGAATTTTGTTTCTGTTTTGATCCCATTTTAAGCAATTTCTTGTATAAAAATAAATAACAAAACATAAAATGTGTCATATACTACGTACTATACGTTCAATATTCTATAAACATATGACTACTATATGAGTACGTTAAAGTCAACATCTTGGTCCTTCTATGTTTGCTTTTTTTTTTCACGCCATCAACGATATGATCGAGTTGAATGCATTCTTTGTTTTTTCCTATTTAGGATGATGGAGAATCATTTCTTACGTTATTTTCATCTTTGCGGCTCAAGAAGATTACAAACTTAGAAAGGAAGCATACGTATCAGACAACCTAATGCATCTTTCTACTTTATGAGATCATTCTACTTTATTTTTGGGTTTAATGCACCAAAACCCCCTGTGATATATAAATTTGGCACATTAGTCCGATGTGATTCAAAAAACACCTCAAACCACACTGTGTTATGTTTTTTCATGCGCAGAACCCCCTTCAAGAATAAATTTAACAAATTTTAAATCACATATCTTATTGTTATGAATAAATATGCAAGTAAATTTGTTAAGATCGTTAAATTATACAAAAATACTAATTATTTTTTATTTAATTGGCAATTAAATTTGGTCTCGGAGGGGGTTGTACGCATGAATAATTATAACACAATGGGCTTTGATGGATTTTTTAAATCACATGGGACTAATACGCTGAATTTATAAATCACATGGGGGTTTGGTGCAGTAAACCTCTTTATTTTCTTTACTGAGTGCGTGTCAGATTGTTTGGTTAATCAAACAAGTCTCACGCCGGAAATTATGAAGTACGAGTATTAAAGTGCAATATTGAGATCTCAAGTTACTCCTCAATTAACCTTTTAAAATAGAACCACATGTATGACACTAATATAATAAGCATTTCATCTTAAAAAGTTCTTATTCATAGTCTGATTTTAGACTAATTAACTACTGCGGCATATTTTTACCAATAATGTACAACACGTCAACATATTTTTTACTATGCATGTTACATGTGTCATGTTATATACTCCCTCCGTAACTTTAGAATCTTCCCATTTCAAAAGTAGGTAGATTAAGAATAGTGAAAGATGATATGAATTATTGAGGGTATAATGGGAAAATAGTGGAATAATGTGGTGGAATGTAGGATAAATCCAAAAAAAGTAGTTGTAATAGTGTATTATTTTAAGAATTATTGAGGGTATGATGGGAAGATTTAAAAATGAGAAGATTTTTGTGTTACGGACGAAAAAGGAAAGTGAGAAGATTTTTAAGTTACAGAGGGAGTAAAATATTTTGTGGTGTTATATTTCTACCAATATATATATATACTTGTACAACACTACTCCGTAATGTATAACTTTTATTATACATAGTTAGGTTTGTTAAGAGTCCAATTTATGAGTTAATAAACCATTGTGAGTGAAAACCCAAACGGTTCAAGTAATTAAAGAGGCACACGCTTACTACTACGTATACATTACGTACTACTTCGTATCTAATTAATAAGGATATAATACTGCTAATGTTCACTCTTATTACTTGCTGTATTTGATTCTTTGTCGTTGATACCATGAGATCAAGTTGTATGGGTAAAAAGTATGAGAGTATAAAATGTAACACCAGAAAATGAATTAGATAAAGATTGTGAAATATAAAAACTATTCTTTTTTTTTTTTTGAACGAATATAAAAACTATTCTGAAAAACGAAAAGTAACGTAAGAATGTGGTTTTTATAGATGAGAATTGAAGGTAGAAAAATGGTCAATATAGAAACCCAGGGTTACCGGGCAAATAATACGATACTTCAAGTAATTATTCAAAATAGAAGTAAAATATAGACAATGTTTTAAATTAAGACATCACATTTTCTTCCCGACTTGTATGGTGATTAGGTCCGGTTAAACTTAGAGAACATAAGTGCATGAGTCATATGTTGTTAGGAAGAATATAATTAATGATATTTCAATTATTCTATCGGAACAGTTATTTCTTGATTTACTTCTATTTAGAGAATTTCTTCATGGTAACCGAACTGTGGTTCCTATACATGTTTGCCTACCCGTACTTCTATCCGAACAATTATTCATGTTTTACTCTCATTTAGCCAATTTCATCATTCTACTTTTACGAAGTATAATAGAAATTTGGTGCAAGCCAAAAGGGAGACATCCGTGGAGTAACAATAATTAACTTAATGATGTCCCGTTATATTAAAAATAATTATTGAATACTCAACTAGATATTAAAATCATTTGGAAAAATCCTTTTGTACACTCCTCTGTTTTACATATGTAGGCAGACAATTTGTTTAAAAAAAGCGATTTCTTTAAAAAGTATATTGTGACGTGTAATCTAATACCTGAAGGATAAGGCTTGTTGGATGTCCATGGCTGCAACCCATACTCACAATACGTATCCATCTGCATCCTCAATGCACCCACATCCCTCCACTTCCTCCACCGAGCCGTAGCCATGGCTTCTTCCATGGTGTGCACATAGATAGGGTGTCTCGAAATAGCCATATCCACACCTTCCTTGTTATTCACAACAACCAGAAGTGAATGGATCAACAGCAATGGATCTACCACCAATTGCATCTTTGCATCCACCCAAATGCTGAATTTAGTGTTTGGGAACAACCTATGGACCAAGTACTTTGGAATCACTCCATTCATGGCTGCATCCTCGTACAGCAAAGCCTTCTTATTATCAGCAGAAGTAGCAACCTTCACAACTCTCCACACTCCAACACTTATATCTTTGGATTTTCTTGAGGCTATTAAGTTGTAATTTTCAAGGCCATCGAGGGTCACGTCATCCACAAACATGAAGAAACACACAAGGCTCGAAGTGTCTGATCCTATGCCTTTTGGCTGCCGGATTTTGTCATGGTCGTTGAATATTGCTGATACTACCACTACCCCATTGCATCTTTCCATAGCCATTTCATCTATCAAAAAAACCATTTTAAACTAGTAAGAAGTTGGACGGACACGAGAATTAATAAAGTAAAAACTGTGTGGTTGAGGTTTGCGCAGATGAGAAATAATTAACTGGAACCACAAATTATTATTTACTTAAAAGCGAAAGTGGCAAAGTACATGAGATACCCAAAAAAGAAAAGTTGACAAAGTTTTAAGGGACAGAGGGAGGTAGTACTACATATGTATATTTGTGTGGTTGTGATCTCGTTGTTTATTTGACACACATACATAATTTATAATGTTTTTATTTGGATTGAAATTTCTAGTCTGGACTGTTTAAGTCTAATTTGATCTGGTTTGGTAGATGTTTGGTTTCATTGTATTTTACAACTGTCGAAGTCGAGTTTGATCTAATCTTTTCGAGTCCGGTCTCTTTAAGTCTTGTGTGATATGATCTCGAACTAAAACAAGTCTAACAAAAACATCCTATAGTAGCCCTTAAAATGTTTTTAATTGGACTGAAATTTTCTAATCTAGTCTGATCCGATTTGATTTAAACTTGTTTGATCTAGTATAAATTTGGTCTCTGTATATTTTATAATTATCCAAGTTTGATCTGGTCTGGTTTGGTTGGGACCGAAAACCGACCAAGTGAAAACATTCTTGAGTCCCTTTCACTTGTTTAATACTCCCTCTGGTTTTTAATAAACTTTACACTTTCCTTTTTGGGACGGTCTAAAATAAACTTCACACTTCCTTACTTCCTTTTTTGGCAAAGAAATCTACATCAAAACAGTGCCAAACAGTGTCTCAACAGTGCCAAACAGTGTCTCAACAGTGTCAAACAGTGTCAAACAGTGTCAAACAGTGTACTCTACAGTAAAGTCAAATTTCTTTTCTTATTTTGTGTGAAGTCAAAGAGTGAAGTTTAATAAAAACAGTAGTATCAATCAGCTATCATTTTAGCCTAAATGTTAATTTTCGTCCTATCATTTGAGTGCATATCACGCATGTTTCATTTGGGGTTTGCAGTAATTATGCATGCGACAAGAAATGCTTGTGTATAACGAAACTACATTTAATATGTTCCAATTTAAAACGATATATATATATATATATATATATATATATATATATATATATATTCTCTATATATTAATGAAATCAGGTACGTGCATGTATGATTCTATCTTAAATTGGCCTTAGCTTTTTTTCAATGAGATCGTAAGTCGTAAGAGATGCATCCAAAAAGAACTTGAGATATAATCCAAGTATTTCAAGAAAAGTAACCAAAACCATTTGTACAAACCTGATTTGCTAACAGGGAACGGTTTGAAGAATCCGCAAGGGACTTGTTCTTCCGAATCGCCATGACCGAAATACGAGAACCGCGTTTGGGTGGAGAGATTGCCGCCGAAACTTTCCCTTTCGCCATGAGCGTATTTCAGGGTTCCCGAGCCCAATCCCAACGAGTTCCGAGAAAGCCGCTTGATTTCCGTCACGACCTCCCGATAATCTGCGAAAACGGCGGCGACCCATTCTCAGCTAGCCGATCAAGAATCATTAAATTGAAAGATGAAAAAGGCTTACCGTACCGGAGAAGAAAACAGGGGAGGTGCAGGAGGGGCGGGTGGTGGGCAGGGCGTGTTTGTGCTCGCCGTAGGAGGAGTTGTAGGAGAAAAGAGGGGTCTGAATGGGATCGTGTGGGGAGGAGCGGAAGAGGCAGTGGGCGGTGGGGGAGAGAAGAGTGTAAAGAGCTAAGGATAGAGCAGTGAGGAGGTAAAGGACGGAGATGCAGAGGAGCTTCGAGTGGAAGAAGAGCGGTTTGATGCTCGTTGCCATCAAATGCCGTTCATCTCATCGATCTTTACGTAAACAAATCCTTCGTCGTACGCACAGAGTATTCTTCATATTTTATAGGCCCAATTCGACTCTTTCTCTTCTCATGATTTAATATGATTTTTTAATAATAATAATAATAATAGCAAAACATAAAAAATTCAAAAAATATACTCCCTCCGTATATTAAAGTTTGCTACATTTTTCTTTTTGAGATGTATTTAAAAGTTTAGAAATTACGTAGTACTTCAAATAAGACTAAAACAATGGCAAAAACTCAAAATAAGACTTGTATGTTTTTTATTCCAAAATAGGACCGTATTGGTCCTATTGGAAACATACATATTTCTTCATTTCATTCTTACCCTTCCTTTAAATATGAGCAAAACATAATCAAAAGTCATAATAAAATTTTTAATTCATAATAAATTCGAAAAAAATTCAAAAATTCGTAGAAAAATAAAAAAAAATTAAGAAAATTTTTATAAAATAAAAAATAAAATAAATATTTTTTTAAAAATTATTAAAAATAGTAAAACTCCATAAAAAAAAATTAAAACAATATGGATGCCTCTCCCACCGTCTGTACTACCTCTCTGCACCACCAGCTCCGATCGGTGTAAAAAATGCCATCTGTTTTTTTAATTCCAAAAAAATTACATATTTCTCTATGAGAATGCCAACATTTTCATTCTGTCAACTTGAATCCTTTTGACTTTTGCCAAAAATATGGCATTCATAATTTTTTTGGCATTTTTCCCCCCGGTGACAGGAGGTGGTGGCGTCGCTTCCCTGCACCACCACCTCCGACCATTAAAAAATGCCATATTTCCTAAAAACTGCTATTTTTTCCTGAAAATGCCAAAAATATAGCATATTTCTCTTTGAGAATGCCAACATTTTTATTCTGCCATCTTAAATCATTCTGACTTATGCCAAAACTATCGAATTCATAAAAAATTTGGCATTTTTTCTCCAAATGACTGGAGGTGGTGTTGCTGGGGCGGCAGAGGCGGCGGTGATGAAAAAATTCTTTTTAATTTCTTTATTTATTTTTTTAAAAAAATTCAATTTTTTTTGAATTTATTATTACGTAAAATATTTTTATTAATTTTTTGGTATATTTTATGAATTTTTATTATTTTTTATTATTTTATTATGAATTAAAACATTCCAATAGGTATAAGAGTATATTTGTCCAAGACACACATAATTAGTCCTATGGAAACATAGTTTATTTTTTAGTCCTATTTGTGCAAAGTGAGTGGCTTTTAGTCCTATTTTGATAATTAACCCTTATACAAATTTGAAATTGATCATCTCATATATGAATGTTTGGATTTAATTCAATTCTTGTCTATGAGAATTTGAGTTAAATTAGCGCGGGTCTTATACAAATAATCTGATCTTAGAAGTAAGTTAGGATTGTGATAATTTGATTTAATTCTTATCTATGAGAACTGATTTCATTTTCTGTCCAGGGAAAGCTAATTTACGTAATTCTAATCCTGAAAGAACACTCAAAACCTGAACCATCCTATTTGAACCCTATTTTAAAATCTAGAATCAATTTAATTATTCTTTTCTCTATTTATTTTTGCACTCGCTGTTAGTTAGTTTTTTTTTTATTCCCCCCCAAAAAATTATTGTTCGGAAAGATTACCATGACTTGTGCTAGCCTGTGATCACGGATCGTATTTAAAACTTCCTTTTTGCCACTCCTTGAGAGTCGATACTCGTGGTCTGATTATTCTTCGAATTAGCCAACTACGTTTTACTAACTAAAAAACATCTCTTTTGACTCAAAGAGGGATCGGAGACAAAAGCACATTTTTTCATAATTTGGTTAAACAACGCAAAAGAAGGATTATATGAAGGGTCTGCGCCTGGCAAATTAGTAGGAGGCCAATAATAGAGAACAATTATAGGCAATGCTATCTTGGGACATTTTATCGACTCTTTGAGTTTAGTACATATAAATCACACTGAGTTGCTGGGAGTTGCCAAATTGTCTTACGAGCAAAGTAGTGCACTATTGCAGCCAATTAGTTAATTAGAAGTTAAAAGAGCTGTTTTATCATGCACCTGGACATGACGCCAGGACAAGATGGACTGGATCCAGGGTTGTACAATCATTATTGGGATATCATAGGCGACGATATTATAGTCTTCTGTCAACATATGTTCTCGTTGGGAAGCATCCTGAGGGGGGGGTAATCCGTATTGATAATTTTAATTCCCAAAAACGATAAGTCATGCTCCTTAGGAGACTGACGACATATAGCTTTGTGTAATGTGATTTATAATTTTTTTCACCTAAAGTCCTAGCTAACCATAGGAAAGGCTTTCTTCAAAGCATTGTCTCTAAAGATCAAAGTGTTTTTGTTCCGGGCTAGTTCATTGTTGATAATATTATGGTGACTTTCGAGACTTTTCATTTCTTGAAAATGAAAAAGTCAAGGAAGGGGGTTCTGTAGCTTTTAAATTAGATATTAGTAACACCTATGTTAGAGTGGATTGGCCTTTATCTTGATACAATATATCTTACCTCTCATGAAGTTTGATCCAAAATGGATTAAATTGACAAGGGAGTGTATAGAGAGCTGAGTGTGGAATATTTTATCCCGTTTGACAGGAACATGATTAACCCGGTGAATCCTGCTAAGGATATAAGGTGTAGATCCCTTATCACCCTATCTTTTTATTCTTGTGACAGAAGGTTTAAGCGTTTTTAATTAGTCAGCAAGAGGTAATGGCAATATTATGGGTCCATGTGGCTAAAGGGTCCCCCAAAGTATCGCAATTATTTTTTTTATTGACGATAGTTATCTATTTGTTAAAGCAAGAGAAAAAAACTGTGATACACTTAAAAGGGTGCTAAAGAGGTACGAGTTGAGATAAGGGGCAGAAGGAAAATTTTGCTAAATACACCATCTTGGTTAGTCCAAATGTCGGTGAGGATGGGCATAGCTCTCACTATATGGGGATTACATCCTTAATTGACAGACATGAGATTGAGATTTTGGGCTATCTGAAAGAGAAAATAACTATAATGAGGTTAAGGAATTGGAATAACAGGTTCCTGTCTAAAGCGGAACATGATATCATGTCTAAAGTGATACATGTCATGCCAACTTATGCTATAATGTTTTCTTCTGCCCAAGGATTTGTGCTCGGAAATTGAAACAATCATGAACGGGTATTGGTGGCACGTGGGATTTCAACGGAAAAGGATGGAGAAAGATGGGCAAGATGACCAAATTTGTGTAAACCTAAACACCAAGGGGGCTTGGCTATAGATCCCTGAGAGATTTCAACCAAACCATGTTAGGCAAGCAAGCCTCACGGCTGATTGAAACTTTGGAATCTCTAGTCGCAATATCTTTACAGCAAGATGTTTTCTTATTTTTGTAGGCTGGTGTGGGGACTAACCCTTCCTTTATTTGGAGGAGCACTAGACATATGCAAGGGCTATTAGAGAAGGGAGTCAAAGGAAAGTTGTGAACGGCCATAGTGTTTTTGTATGGAAGGAATGGTGATTTTCTGTAGAGGGGGATGACTTGATTCGTGATTACTATCCCACCGCCTCCAGGATAGCAGACATGAATGTCACATCTTTTATATAAGAAGATGGAAGAAACTGGATTGGGCACCAGGCTAGGAGATTTTTTCAGATGATTAACGCGAGGTCACTATGTCTATTCCTGTAAGTACAAGCCGAGTATAGCATTACTCGTGGTCAAATTTGAGTGAAAAACACATGGTCAAGAGCGGATATTGGTTAACTCAGGGGAAATTTACAGAGGACTGCTGACTAAGCTGGACAAAAATGTGGAAACTTTTTATACCCCAAAAAATCATGCTCTTTTTATACCTATTAGATCATTAATGGGCTTGTATTTATTTGTAATTAGTTTTACATGTTAATTGGGCCAAGGGTTATTTACTTGCTTCCAAATTGTATATAAATATACACATGTATCAGCCGAGAGAGTCAAGGGAAATCAATACAATTTCTACCCTAAATTACTTCTCTAATTCGATCATGTTATCAGATCCATAAAGGCTTCGGCGCAGTCTTCTTCATTGGCAACAAGCAGCAGCACCAGCGTGCTCTTCCTCGGCTGCCATGACTGATCCAACTTCGCCATATTATGTCAGTTTCGGGGATCAGCCGTGAAACGTTATCACACACGTCATATTCAAAGGTGATAATTACGTGGCCTGGTCTCGTGGAATTAAACTTTCGTTGAAAGCACGGCGGAAGTACGTGTTTGTAGACGGTACGCTCAAAAAGCCAACTGAAGCTTTGAAATTGCTTGAATGGGAAACTCTGAATGCCTTGGTGGTCTTGTGGCTGTTGCGGAGCATGGAATCCTCGGTGGCCGCGTCGATTCTGTTTCATGATGAAGCTCGAGCACCGTGGCTTTATCTCGAGGGTCGGTTCAGTGTTGCTAATGACCCTCGGCTGCAGCAACCACTACTAGAAAAATCACATTTTGCAACGGAACCGTGCAACAGACTTGTTCTCGTTGCAATATTGCAACTACATTTGCAACGCAATAGGAAGGTGTTGCAATATTGCAACGGATATTGCTATGAAAATTATATTCATTGCAATTGTGGCGGGGAAAAGGAGGGAAAGTATGTTGCAACAGATTTTGCAACAGGTATATGAGACTATTGCAATAATTGCAAGAGAATTTGCAATGCCATATTATTATGTTGCGCAGTTATAGATTTGCAATGGATTTGCAACGGAAGAAGTGATCATTGCAAATATTCCGTTGCAATACGTTTATATTGCAACGATAATTTGCAACAGAGTCAATTCTGTTGCAATTATTTTTTTAAAAATATATTAATTTTATGTAGTGACTATTATCAAAAAGTCTAAATTACCACAAATTCATTCACAAGTTCATAAGTTAGCCAATTTAACAACTTCAAGTTCAATTATCAGGTTTATCCGTCAACTTTTCACCAAACACATACATAACATTTGATTTTGCGCGCCGAATTTTGTAAAAATATAAGAAAGTAAGATTGAAGTTATTTTTCTGACTTATTTGATGAAGTTACTGTAGAGGAGCATTGTAACTATTTTTAATACAATTTTTTGTTTGTTTTATTAATAAGAAATATTTTAAATTTAATTTTTTCATAAATCAGCAGAATCAGCCAATCCAATTATTTCAGTCAAAACTTCATAAAATTTAGCAGAATGAGTCGTAAGCGGGCCCCCATTGTCATTCATTAATGTCAAGTTGATTTTTCTAAAATAAACACTATCAAGATTAATGTTTTTTGGCCACTTTATGAAAAAAAATTAAGAATGTTTTTTAAATTGTCTAAAATAATTTGGGGTCTGAAAAATGCAGGTATGGTCTCTATATATGTTATAACTAACCAAATCTGGTGTAGTCTGGTATGATTTATTCTAAATGGTCTAGTCTGGTTTGATCTGGTCTGATCTTATCTTATGTTATTTGGTCTGAGATTGAAACCGATCTAAATGGAAACACCGATCTAAATAAAAACATGGTTAAATTAAGTCATAATATACGAAGTGCAAAATAATTCATATAATACTTCAGGAGTGTTTGCGATTGCTTCTACTTCAAAAAGTGATTTTTAAAGTGATTTTGAATAAAATAATTAATAGTAAAAGTTGGTAGAATTTGAGAAAACGTGATTCTGAAAAAGAAAAAGTTGGTAGTGTCTAGTAAAATAAGTGTTTTTTATGTAAAAAACAAGTGA